GGGTCCCTCCCACAGTGTGGGTGGGGGGCAAGCAAATGCCTCACCTTGCCCAGAAAGGTGTAGCGCCTGGGGGTCCGGGGGGCTCACCTCTGGGGTGTTAGGGGAACTGAAGGAAGTTCTGGCTGTGAGTGTAGTTCTGGGTGAGCCACGCCGCCCTGCAGCCACCATCCCGCCCCTGACATGCCCGCCGCCCTGTTGGAGGGAGAACATAAGGGGGCGAGCCAGCTCGCAGCATCTACCTGGTGGGCCAGGGCAGCCTGGCCGGGGACCCCGTGGTGGGAATGAATGCCTGGCGAGGGGGGTCTTAGAATATGAGGCCTTGGCCAGGGAGCTGATGACATCTTTTTTCCTCTTTCCCCGAAGGATACTTATCCGCTTTTTCCCCCTGGAGCCCTGGCAGATTGGCAAGAAAGGGACGGTTATGACCTTTTTGTGATCGGCACAGAGTACATCCAGGGCATCTGTGAACAGCCGCCTCTTCCGGAGAGGTCTCCTGGCAGAGGGAGGGCCTGGTGGATACCGGCTTCCGGCACCCCCACCTGCAGATATGCCTGTGACCTCACAGTCCTCTTCTCCCCCATCCTCAGCCAAATAAATGAAGAGAGCTTTGTCTTTCAAACATGGCTTCCTTTCCTGACCAAGGCGTCCTGTTCATCCCCCGCAGTGGGGTTGGCTTATGAGGTGGGGTGGCTCCTACCTTCAGGGTTGCTGTTTCATGGGTTGTACTTAGGCTGCTCCGATTGGAAGATGGGCCCTAGCCATTTGGCTCAGGGGGTAGAGCACTGGCCTGCGGACTGAAGGGTCCATTCCGGTCAAGGGCACATGCCTGGTTGCAGGCTCATCCCCAGTAGGGGGCGTGCAGGAGGCAGCCGATCCATGATTCTCATCATTGATGTTTTTCTCTCTCTCCCCTCCCCCTTCCTCTCTGAAATCAACTAATCTATAATAATAAAAGGGTAATATGCAAATAGACTGAACAGCCATCCAGACGTCCTTCTGGACATCCTTCCAGACGACCTTCCTGACGAAGCCGGGGCTGCAGCTGTGGGATCGAGGCAGCCATGGCTGCGAAGGCCTACTCTTGCATGATTTTCGTGCTAGAGCTTGGAATTCCTTCCCTTGGCAACCTGCCCGTTTCTGTACTCATTCCTTCTACCTACACGGGTGTCTTGCTTCCCAGATGGTTCAGGGAACTTAGGTTGAGTGTGAATGAATGAGTGAAGTGCCCCAGGAGGGATTCAGGCCTACCTCTTGTCAGGACCTAAGGCTGTAACAGCAGCCTCCTATCTGGCCTCTCCACCTTAAATCTCTCAGCACCCCTCTGGTGAGAGTGATGTCACCTGTTTTCTGTAGGGGGGTGAGGGAGGGTGGGACTGGCTCCTCCCCCTTCTCCAGCAAGAATGCTTAGCCCTATCCGGTTTGGCTCAGTGGATAGAGCATTGACCTGCAGATTAAAGGGTCCCAGGTTCGATTCCGGTCAAGGGCAGATGCCCAGGTTGCTGGCTCGATCCCCAGTGGGGGGTGTGCAGGAGGCAGCCAATCCATGAATTCTCTCTCATCATTGTTTCTCTCTCCCTCTTCCTTCCTCTCTTAAATTAATAAAAATAAAAAAATTTTAAAAAACAATGCATAAATAAGTGGAACAACAAAGGGATGTTTCTCTCTGCCTTCTCTCTCTAAAATCAATAAAGAAAATTTATAAAAGGTTGGTGACTTATTATTGTAAATCCTGGATTTCAGTAACACTTTATTGTACTGAAGTGACTGAATTCTTCATGATTTAATTGTTTTTGGGTGTCAGAGAGAAAGCCTACCGTTCACTCCTATGTAAGTAATTCTCGGACTCGGGAGCTGTGCATTTCAGCCAGTGTGAAGCCCTCCCCCCCAACACTCAGCTCCCCAGAGAGGACCCTCTCTCAGCCCGAGACCTGGTCAGACGCCCTCCCACCTGGGCCCTCTTTGGGGCTCTGAAATCCTGCGGACCCTTCCCTGGCTGCTCGTTCACCGGATTTTGGTTTCTTTTTTCCTTGTTTCAATGGCCGGTTGTATCTATTTTTGGGGCTTCCACTCCTTTACAGAAGAGATGACAGGTAAGGGGAATGCTCTTCCTCCTCTGGTTCCTCCTCAAGTGTTCCACGTTTCCGTTGCCTTCATTTAAAAAATATATTTTTATTTCCGAGAGGGGGAGGGGTAAAGAGAGAAACATCAACGATGAGAGAATCACGAATCCACTGCCTTCTGCACACCCCCTACCGGGTTCCAGCCTGCAACCCGGGCCTGTGCCCGGACCGGGAATGGAACCGTGACCTTATGGTTCATAGGTCCATGCTCCACCACTGAGCCACACCGGCCGGGCTCCGTTGCCTTCAAAACTCCTGCCCCAGGTTGTAGGAATAGCACCTCCCGTCACTTAGCGACCGCTGGGGCCAGGCCCGGCGCCTCGCAGGTATTTGCAAATGCTGGGGCCGAGGTCCCGCCGCGGGCTGGCGCTCCAGGCCCCAAACACCCGAGAACCGAGGCCAAGGCTGGAGCTCAGAACCGGCCA